TTCCCTTACTGGAACCAGGGAGAGGTTCTCTGCCGAGCTTGGAGCTGATGGTATCACAGCCAGACGGTTTCATTAAATGCACAGACGCCGCTGGGCCCTGCCAAGGGCAGGAGAAGGGCTCGGGGCCAGCCCTGCCAGGCCGGCGCATGGAACCCAGAGCCCCATGCGAGGGAGGCTTCTACCAGGTGGGAGTGGCAAGATGTGGTAGCATTTCTCCCCTGTCCCTTCTCCTGCCAAGAGCCTCCTACTGCCCTCTTCTATGCCTAGAATCACGTTCCAAACCCATTTCCTGCAGGAAGTCCTCCAAGACTGACCCTTTTACACTTTGGTGCCTGAAGGCTAACGAGTTCATCCAGGCCGTTAGTCAAACCTGGCATTGTTCAGTCAGTGCGTGCCCACAGTTTCTGCCCTAACTTAGATCCCCTTCTCCTTTACGACCATCCCCATGGGCAACAGTCAGGATCGTGGACCCTGCTCCCTCATTCCCATAATGGTGATCTTCCCATTGCCCACCTCCACCTTCCCACCTTTTCTATAGTCACTTCCCACCACCTCCTGTGTAGTGGCCGTGGTATGCCACCTGGTCTCCTTAAGGCCAAGGAGCCTGTCCTGTCCTCTCTTTTGTTGCGGGCAAGTGGAAACACTGTCTTCCCTTGCCAGCCCCAGGACTGCGATTAGACATCTGGCACCCTTCTGAGGCCGGCGAGGCAGAGCCATTACCTCTGAGCCCACTGAGGTCCTCTGGGCACCACATGGAGGGGTTAGGGACAGCACTGGGGCTGGACTATGAGGCTCAGAGGATGCAAAGTGCCTCAGGATGGAGCAGGTGTCAAGGTACAGGGTATGTATGTGTTAGAGCATTTGGGCTCAGTCCTCCCAGACATCTAGCATCCAGCTGCAAGCCTCCTGCATCCCTGACTTCCCTGTCTGTGTGCCCTCAGCATTTGATACTTTGAGTCATAAAATGGCAGCAAACTGGACCTTGCCCCCAGGCTGATGCCCTCGTGGGAGAAGCTGGAGGGGCCCCTCCTCCAAGCCCTCTCTGCTCCTCTCCTAAATTATAGGCACTCAGTCCCGTAGGAACTTCTCTTGCATTAGTTTCCCAAGTGTGGCCATGAAAGGCAGCATTAGCACCACCTGGGAACCTGCTAGAAGTGCAGATTCTTGGGCCCTATCCTAGACCTGATGGATGAGTCTCCGGGAGTGCTGCTTAGCAGGCTGTGTAAACCTTCTGGGTGATTCTGCTGTACGTTCATGTTTGAGAACCACTGCCTTAGAATCTTTTCTAGTGACTCCAACTTCTCTTTGGGATTAGGCAGAGAGAATGACTGGCGGGTGGCTCGCAGGCCAGCATGGCTAGGCCGGCAGGCTGGAAAGGAGTTTGGGGGATAGCAGGGAGCCGCAGGGGCCTTGGGGTTCCTCTCGCGGCACCCACTACTAAACAGCTCTTGAGTCTACATGCTTCCTTCCAGTGCTCACGCCCTGCCCCTGCCGCGCATCTAAGCCACCACCATCTCTGCCTGAACTATTGCATCAGCCTCATAACTTGCTCCTGCTCCCTCCAGTCTGTTCTCCCTGTGGCAGCCAGAGTGAGCTTGCTGAAATGCAGACCTGAGCACACCGTTTTGATGGCACCAACATCTCTGCTCTATTCTCCCTCCCTCAAGAAGCCAGATTTCTCCCTCACAGACTCTACTGTACCTTATATCTATTCTTTAAAGCACTGATGAAAATTGTATTTATGTTTACTTGTATGGATTATGGTTTTGCTCCAACTGTATTCTTAGCCCCCAGCCCCCAGCCCCTACCCTGGCACTCAATAAATACTTGTTGGATGAATGAATGAACAAGTGAATGAGCCATCCGGGCACTCACTTCTTCCAGCTGGACCTTGCCCCCAGCAGCCAACCCGAGAAGGAGCCTAGAAGGGGAAGTTCTCTGGATCTCTGTGCCCACTCGCACAGGCTCCATTTCTCCGTGGTGGCCCACCAGTCTGCTCACGGAGGGGGTAGGCTGATATCGTTGCTCCAGAGTGGCAGCCACAGCTCTGCTCCAGCTTTTTGCCCTGCATGACTCTTAAGCAGGCAATCTCATGGTCTCTGATGTGTCCTGTCTCCCTCCCCTGTTCCCTGCCCACATAGATCCCTACGCAATCGTCTCCTTCCTGCACCAGAGCCAGAAGACGGTGGTGGTGAAGAACACCCTAAACCCCATGTGGGACCAGACACTCATCTTCTATGAGATCGAGATCTTCGGCGAGCCAGCCAGCATCGCCGAGCAGCCGCCCAGCATTGTGGTGGAGCTGTATGACCATGACACCTACGTAAGTCCGCCTGCCTCCCTCCCTCACTCCTTCACGCACTCACTCCGGGGCCCAGGGAGAGACACTGCTGCGAGGGAGGGTCCCCAACCTGATGAGTGTGCCCTAGGGCTGGGACTGATGGCCTCTATTTTAGAGTAATTAAAGAATAGACTGGATTGCTAGCTCATGTGCTTGTGCCCATGGCAGAGAGGAGACAGATCTGGAAATGGCCCTTGGCTGTGGGTCAAGAGCCCGAGTTTTCTCTTCCTCTAACTTGCTTATACGATCCCAGGCCAGTCCCTCTTCCTATCAGAGAGCTGTGTTGACTCCACAAACATACTTATCAAGCACTTGTTTAATGGGTTGGGTGATCCCTCGCTAGGAGTTCCCAGGTTAGGTGAGAGCCGACACTCACCAACAGACAGATCCTCAAGGGAGGCAGCAGACCCCTGAGTGCCACATGGCTCTGAGACATACCCAGAGCTGTCCAACAGAACTTCCGGCACTGATGGAAATGCTCTGTGTTTGTACCTTCTGAACGAAAGCCACCAGCCACACGTGGCTATTCAGCAGTCAAAATGTGGCTAGTGCAACTGAGAAACTGAATTTTAAATTTTATTTAGTTTTCATTAATTAAACTTTAAATTTAAATAGCCACAGGCGGCCAGTGCCTCTAGTATTAGACAGCACAGCTCTAGAAGGTTCTCAGGAGGGAGAGATCACCAAGGACTGGAATGTGCAGAAGAGCATGGGGAAGACACAGGCCCTGGAAGAAATGTGGGGTTGGGGCTCTGGGAGAAGGCTGGGGGGCATTCCAGCACAGCTTGGAGGCAAGTGGGAGACCAAGGAGATGGGGGGGGCAGTCTGGGAAGGAGGAGGAAAGAGAATGAGGCCAGGGGAGCAGGGTAGTGACAGGATCAGAGTAACATTTTAAAAAGAGATGAGAAAGACTGTGTCAACTGATGGGGCATGTGACAAAGAGGCCCCAGCTTGGGTTGGGAGGGCAGCAGTGTGATGAAAGGGGAGGAGGCAGGGTTTGAAAGATGTTTCCAGAAAGAGCTGCCATGACTGAATGTCGGGTGCCCTGAGGGGGGTGTGGGAACGCGATGCTGTTTAGGGTGCAGCACCAGGAGATGGGGACCAGTGGGCAGTGCAGGCCTGGCTAGGGAAGCCAACCTGTGAGCTCTTCCCTTGGAAGGAAAAGCTGGCTCCTTCGGAGGGGAGAATGAGCAACTGGAATCTATTTGGGACTGTTTGGAGAAGAGCATAGGACCTGGCACCTTTGGGGCAGGAGTGGGAGCGGGCGGGAGGACCAGGAGGGCACTGGGCCAAAGGACAAAGCCGAGGGAGCAAGCTCGTGCCAGCATGGGTAGGTCGGGAGGTGGCAGGACAGTCTCTTACAGTAGCATCACACCTCCTCTTTTTAAAATGTGTCTCTGACCCTTTCTTCTGCAAGCAGTGCCAGAGAGAGATCCCAAGGGGAGAAAGCCACGGCCCCTTGAGGGCGGGCAGGCTCCAGGGTCCCAGGGGAGGGCAGGGGCTGTGCTCATTGTTATATAGTCAAACAAGGCCATACAGATGGTAAATGCCCATTGCTCTGATCTGCTGTCCTGGCCGCCCAGGCTCTGCAGGGATTCCCCTCTCTCCAACTTCTCTGTGACCAGATAAATAAAATAAAAATAAAAATAAAATAAAATAAAATAAGTACCCGCCCCAGAGGAGCCTTCAGGAGCCCTCCCAGCGCTGTGGCTGGTGTCCGCTCTGAGTGGTTGGTGCTGGACTGTAACCTGCTGATGTGAGCATTTGTGCAGCAGCTGGTAGCCACTCCTGAATGGCTGTTTGGGGTGCCCCTGGCATGGAGGCGACTTCAGGTGGGGAGCACTAGCCGGTTGAGACCTAGGTTCTGCCCGTTGCCCCTGCCTTCAGGGACGCCAACCAGAAGGCCGGAGTCCACAGGCCAGTGAGGTTGCAGAGGTCCATGTCAGAGGCTGAGCTTGGGCAGGGCTGTGAATAATGGCTGAGAAGGGGAGAGGACACATGGCTCGGGGAAATGGCCCATGCGAAGGTCAAGGGGTGAGAAGCCAGCTGAGGAATGGAGGATATGTGGGTAGGAGAGAGGCAGGGCGGGAGAGGTGAGCAGGCCCAGGGAGGTGGTCTTCCGTGCCAGGTGAAGAGTTTGACTCTATCCTCCAGTTGGGGAGCCATGGAAGGTGTCTGAGCAAGGGAATAATGAGACAAAAACATCATTTTAACACGACTTATATGATCTGATGAATGTGATCACAGTTTCCCCATCTGGAAAGCAGTGGAATTTAAAGGTCAAGCGAATAGGAAATAAAAAGTTCTTGGGACTGTCAAATGCCTATACTGTAAGGGAATTAGACGAATGCTAGGATCCTGTTACTCTGGTCCCTCATGGTCTCAGAGCTTGATTAAATTAAAACAAGGCCAATACTGTTTGGACATACAGAGGGACTTCCCCACCATGATGGGAATTCTAAGCTAGCAGCAGTGGCCAGGCTCACTCACATGTTGACCTCATATTCTTTTAAGCGGCAGAGCGCACCCTTCATCACCAGCCGCTGCCCTTTCGAGTTCAGGAGGCCAGATGTAGGTCTGGTGATTGCTCTGAGGCCACCAGAGCCCTGGACGGGGCGGGTGCTGACTCTTCTTTCTTCACTCTCTGTCCAGGGTGCAGATGAGTTTATGGGACGCTGCATTTGTCAGCCGAGTCTGGACCGGATGCCCCGGCTGGCCTGGTTCCCGCTGACTAGGGGCAGCCAGCCAGCGGGTGAGCTGCTGGCCTCTTTTGAGCTCATACAGAGAGAGAAGGTGAGGCTGGGCCATCTCTGGACCCTGGAGGCCCAGGCAGGGAGTACAGGTGGGGGTGGGGGTAGGGGGGACACAGGCAGGGGATAGCTGGCTAGAGGGGAGGGGGCTGCTGATATATGTTCTTCTCCTACCGGGGGTCTGCACTCAGTGGGGAGGGAACAGCCACTTCTAGAAGTCAGGCCTCCTGCCAAGACCAGTTTTGGCCATCTTTTCTGAACCCTAAATCAGGACATGATCTAACTTTGGGGTAGAAAGTTAGAATCTGGACTGTGGGGGAATGCCTGAGTCCTCTGGCCATTGGATGTATTTTTCCCTGAGTCATGTCCTGACATGGTGTCTGGGAGGAGGATCCGGTTGTAGAGGTGCTTAATCGTGATGGGGAGGGGACTCCAGGGACAAGTAAGAGAAGGACCTCTGTTCTAGCTCTGGCTTTGCCATGGCCTAGCTGTGTGATCCTGGACTACCCACTTCCCGGCTGCAAAATAGGGAGTTTGGGTTAGAACCATATCTTCAAACTTGCTCTTAGTGAACCCCAATACGTATGATAGATAGAAGGAGGGCTGTTCCATGTGAAGAGTTCCAGGTGAAGGAGGGGGATGCAGCATACCGCCCACCTAGCTTCCCCTTGCACCATCTCATCAACTCCCAGGGGGCCCTAGGCCTCCAAGGAATAGAGTCTGCAGACCGCTGGACTGTCTGATCACTGACGTATTCCATGAGTGTTATGTTGTGTTTGCCTGGCCAGGGCAGGAAGGAGGGTGAAGGTGGCCCTGGGTGAAAAGCTCCTGAGCAAAGCTCTTTTCCTTCCCTCTAGCCAGCCATCTACCATATTCCTGGTTTTGAGGTAAGTCTTGCTCTCAATTCTTCTTCTTCAGACTCCCTGCTGGTCTCCCTGTGTTTGCAGCCCTGTCCCAGGCTAGAAAGGGCAGCAGGCGTCCATTACCACTGTCCTTCCTTCAGACAGAGGAGGGTCCAGTGAGGCCACAGGGGCAAGGTGAACAGAGGCTGTGGTCCCAGCCCAGCTCAGGCCTTTTACCCTGAGTTCACGGACTCTCAGACTGAAGGGACCTCATGGTCATCCATACCAGTGACTCTTAGTTGTGTTGCATGTTAGAATCCTTGGGCAGCTTTAAAAATCCCTTAGTGCTCAGGCCCCAACCTAGACCAAATGAAACACAATCTCTTGGGGTGTGGCCCAGGCATTGGTAGCATTCGAAGCTGCCTAGGGGATTTTAATGTGCAGCCAGGGCTGAGAGCCATTGATTTAGCCCAATGGTTCTCAGCGTGGCATCACCCGGGATGTTGGTGGAAATGCTTCTTGGGTCCCACTATAAGCCTACCGAAATGAAGTCTGAGGGGCAGCGAGGCAGCTTATGTGTTCACAAGCCCTCAGGGGATTCTGGCGCATACTCGAGTTTCAGAAGCTCTGACTTAGACCACAGTTCCCAACTCACTGTTCCCAGCGTGACCAGGTTTCTTTCCTCCACTAGTGATGGGGGCTTGGTCCCCTTGTCCCTGCTCTCCTTCCTTCTCCCGGGGGTCACGGTAGAAAGTGCAGACCTTTTACTGTGGTATCCGGGTTAATTTGCTTCAGGAAATACTATTCTCAGCCACGCTCAGCTGCAGCTTTGAAAAGTGGTCATCTGGGCTCTGTTTGGATGCCTCCCCCTTATGAGGCAGCCCACACGATTTGCAGACAGCTCTTACCATGGAGGCCTGCCTTTGCTCCTGCCCCCTACTCCACACTCTGCTTTTCCCTCCATCTGTACTTGTCTCTCTCCCGCTCCTTCTCCTGTCAAGTCCAAGCTCCCACTCTCAGGTCTGCCAGCTCCTGGGGATCCGGGTTGTTTCTCTTTGGCTCCCCTTGTCCACATGCTCCAGCAGCAGCAGCAGCTCTGTGGCTGCAGGCCTGTCTGCTTCTTGGGGCTGCTGCACATGGTCAGGTCCTTCCCACCATCTGTCTGCCATTTTCCTTTTCTCCTGTCACTTCCAGAGATGCTGGGCCTTAGGTTTATGTTCTGGCCTCTTCTACCAGCCACTCTGCATTGACATCCACTGCACCTTCTTTCTCAGGGACCATGTGAAGGGCGTGGCTAGAAGCACATGGCACTTGCCCTGGACGGGAGGTGGTTTCTGTTGGCTCTTCTTAATGTGCTGTGTGATGTGCTGATATCTGTCCCAGCCCAGTGCTCCTTGTCACTAATGGTGAACTTTTACACTCCCTCCTTTCCTTTCACCATCTCCTGGATGTGGAATATCGTCTCGCAATGTGGTCCAGGTACAGGATACATCACGGATCCTGGAGGAGGTGAGGTGGACCTGCATGGCTGTGGCTATGGCTGGGAGTAGGGTGGGCAGGGACAGAGGGAAGGTAAAGACCAGTCTCTGGACATGTGCCCTGGAGCTTTCCGGGTTTTTGTTTCCCCAGTGGGCATCTGTCACACAGAGATCTGTCTGGATTTCATTCCTTGCACTCTGTGTGGATCCAGGGCTCCCCAGGATGTGTCCTGGTGTGATTCTGGCCTCAGGAGGCTTGCTGCCTTGTTGGAGGCCAGATTCATCCAGACCTCATGGACAGCAATACATAGTCTTATTTGGCTGAGGACCAGGTGGTATGTTTTCAAGAATACAATGTTTATGAAGGGCCAGAGTAGTCAAAGAAGCCTTTCTGGTGGAGGTGGCATTAGCCAGACATTGTTCCAGGAAGAAGGTAGAAATCTGCCTTTGGCCCAGGGCACCAAGCACCAGGTTAGGGCCTGGATGGTTTAGATGCTGGGGTGGGTTGGGATTCCTAGGTTCTAGAAGTTTGGGGTTTGCATCCAGATGAAGCAAGGCTTTGTCCTTCGCCATGGAGGATGAGGAGCACATTCCCTTAGGGCCTCCTGCGCATCTGTGAGCCGGTCCTCATGAACGAGCAGGGGCAGAGGCCTAGGCAAAGGAAAGACAAGAAGGAGAGTCCTGGTCAGATGGGTTGGGGCAAAGGGCAGCCACTTCCTGCCGTCAGGGAATCCCCCGGCGGGGAGCGGACACCATTTGACATTTTCAGTGCAATTTGGACTTGAAGTGCAGGGACAGGATGTGGGATCCGCAGGCCCTGCGCCCCTTACCTCACTTCCTTTCGCTCCCAGACCGAGGTGGGGTTCGCCAAGTGAGCTGGCCGTAATTGCGCCTGACAGGCAGCCTCCTGCTCTTGGCTGCAGTCAGAGAGACTGCCGATTTGGAAAGGGGAACAGAGTCTTGTCCAGGGAAGCAGCGCAGAGCCCTCTCTCGATTGAGAGCATTCTGTGGCCAAAACCCACAGCTCGCTCTGAAGAAGACCCAGCCTAGGGATGCATTATTAAAAAAAAAGTTAAAATCTTTAATAACTAATTTGTAATGTATAACAGTGAAGACTCAGATTCCGAGAGAGGGGATCTGGCTGTGGCGTCCTTGTCAGGAAGCAAATCCAAATCTGCAGCTTTTGGGCCAGACCCTGAAGAGGGCCAAATGTCTTGCTGCCGGGCTGGCCTGGCCACAGGCTGAGGCGGGGTGTGGGTTGGCAGGGCCAGGAGAGAGCAAGTCCTGGGGGTCTGTGGGGCACAGGAAAGGCCTAAGCCAGCAGGTTCAGAGGGTCCGAGGCTGCTGAGGATGAATGGAGTAACAGCTATATGGCCTTGTGAACTCCTCATCCCCAGCACCCCCCTCGCCCCGCGCCGCAGCCCTGGGCCCATTACTTAGTCACTTCTCTTGTACTTGAAGGCTAAGCCTCATGCCAAAGTCTTGGGTCCCATCCGATTTTAAGAACCAAGGGGACCAGGTAGAGAAGTAGGGCAAGTAGGGTAGTCCTGCTGCTGCTGCTGGTCCTGCAGGAAGCTTGATGGCTTCGCAGGATTTTTCTGTCTTCTTTGCATGAGCCAAGCTCTTGACTTATATCCCCCATTCATCCCCCTCCAGGCTCCCAGCCCGATCCCTGTGAGAAGCACTCCAGCTGTCCTAGAGGGCTGTGATGAGCCATGCCAGGAGATTAGATTCTGGGCCCCTGGCCATGGGAGCCTCTAAAGTCTGGGAGCAGAGAGGGCAGATGGGTGGTTAAGAAGTTGTTTGGCTGTAGGGGGTGTGGGTTAAGGAGCAAGGGGCAGGAGGAGAGACCAGCTGCGAGGCTTTGGTGATTCTGAAGAATGATTTAAGGAAGGCGTCTCTGTGGGCTGACACAGCTCAAGGCTGTATGGGAGACAGAGTGTCCATGAATGAGATGTGATGCCATCTGTCTGTGCTGATAGCTCAGAGAGCAGACAGAGGACCATGGGGATGGCTTCCTGGAAGAGGTGGCACTGAGCTTGATACCAAAGCAGGGATTGGTAGAAGGGGCGGGGGCAGAGGTGCAGGTGGCAATGCCTTGGGCTGGGGGCATGTCACCACTTGGGGCCAGTTTGTTGGGCAAGAGTTTCCTTCCCCCAGGTTTTATGCCCATCTCGATTGCCCCTCTCTGGTAGCTCTTGGTGGGGGAAGAGGAGCTATTGCGTCCCGTTATTAGGCTTTGGTGACATCTGGGAGACCTGGGTGCTTTCAGAGAGCATGGGTGGAGGGGGGCTTCCCTCCTGGCTCCCCAGCCTGTCTTTCTGTTGCCTCCTGCTTCCCCCTCTTCCTGAGCCCTGCTCGCCTTCCCCTCTTCCTCTTCTCCCTTCAAATTTCCCTCTTCCTCGGTTTGCTCCTTGGCCCTGGCTCCCTCTCTCTCTCCTTCTCCCGCCTCTTCTGAGCCCTCTGTCTCGTTTCTTTTCCTTTTTGTCTGGAGAACAAAGGCAGTCCGTGCTGCCAAGGGGAATGAGTTCAAAGAAACTGCAATTTTAGATTTCCTGAGAACTGGAGAGTGTGCACATGCATGTGTGAGTGTGTGCGAGTATGTACACTTGCAAGAACACACACACGTGCACGCACACACGGCAGAAGAGGGGATGGCTCATTCCTTAAAACCAGGGGCCCCTAGGATGTGGGCATGTGCAGAGGAAGGCCCCCCTGGGGGCCCCTTAGGTGGGAGCAGGGGCTATGGTACTGACCATTGAGGGGGCTCAGTTGGAGCAGTGCCCTCTGCTTCTAATGTCCTGCTCTGCAGAAGGGATGCCCCAGTGGACAGGACTGCACGCTCTGCGGCTGTTTCCACTGCAGGCTCAGGGGGCCAGCCAGATGTCACTCCCTCTGCTTTTCCAAATCCAGGCGGCAGGGTATGGCTTTTAGTCTGAGATGTACATGGGGTAATTTCCTGCACCCCCAAATCTACTAGAAGGAAAAATTTGGTGTTTTGCAATCAAGAAAATAAGCCCAGTGGTCCCCCATCCCCCATCCCTCCCCTAAGGCCTTAATTTAAAACACTGTTTTTCCTCCGAAGTGTAATTAGAGCAACATGTTATTCCTAACAAGCTGGGTGGGGCAGGCAGACAATGGAGCCCTCCCAGCCTGCCTGGCTGCCCCCGCCTGGAGCTCCCTGAGGAGTCAGGATCTGAATGTCCAGAGGGTCCCCTGACTGTACCCCGCTGGGTGAAGTGGGGGGGTCTATGGGGTACTGGTGGCAAGACTGACCTATGTGGCTGGATGGGCTTGCCGACACTTCCTCCTGCCCTGGGAATGAATGTCTGTCTAGTGTGGTGGCCCCTAGGCCTGGGTGAGGAAGCCCCACTCGTGGTTCAGGGTCCCTGTATGGAACTGGCCAGCAGGATGGCATTAGGGTAGATTCCGCTCTAATAAGGGAGAGAGCCTAGTTTGTCCTTAGGTCATTGTCTTCTTGGTCGGAGTGGCTTGGTAAACACCCTGCACACCTACAGAACCCCATCAGTGGGGCAGTCCCAGATCTGCCCTGCATTTAGGGTGGGTAGGGATGATGAGCAAGGCAAGGGTTGGTCAAATGTGGCTTCAACTAACTAGGCTGATATTCTAAAGCTGTGGTCCTCTGAGTTCCTTGACTCACATAGGACAGTGGATCAGGATGTCTTGGTGGCACTTTCAGACTACATCCACCCCCCTGCCTGGCAATGTTGATGTTTCCCCAGTTCTGACAGGGGCCACTGCAGCCCAGCCCTATTGAGAATCACTGTCCTGGAGAGTGGGTGTCATACCGCAGGTTGACTGGACTAGAAAAAAGTTGAGAAACTGGGGCATAAGGGCCAGCCATCCGGCCAAGTCCACAGCACTCTCACGTGCGAGAGGTCAGTGATTTGTTAGGATCTTGGGAAACCAGGGCTTGGGGTCACTTAGAATTCAAAGACATCAGAGAGTAGGTTTACAAGAAGTTTCTGCAGTGGTCAGGGAGATTTTCTGAAGGGTGGGGAGCTTGAACTAGGTGCTGAAAAATGTGTTAGATTCAGGAAGAGGGCAAGGGAAGCCCATTCAAACAGAGGGAGCTACGAGCAGGCACAGAGGAGGGAGGGCTTGGTGAGGGCCCAGGGATCAGGCTGGAACAGACGAGAGTTTGGGAAAGGAGGGGAGACTATGTTGGAGCCAGTTTATCGACCCATCTCCCCACCCATTCATCCCTCTGCCACAACTCCCTTCTTTTAATTACCCATTCATAATCCTTCATTTGCTGGACAGGGGATTCAGCTGCAGTATCTGTGTGTAGAATTGCTGGTTTAACTGGGGACACAGACATGTGAACACATAGAGATGGCACAGGGTTTTGTGTCTTTCAGTGGGAGGGAGTCAAGTTGCCACGGGAGCCATGGCGGTGCTCAACTTAAGCTCGGAGCCCTAGGGAAGATTTGAATGGAGACCTGAAGTCCAAGTAGGTTATAGCTAGATGAAGCGGGAGCTTTCAGACAGGGGGACCTATGTGCTTCAAGTCTCATGGGTAAAGAGAGCAACTGTTAGTGCTCAGAAGGGCAGGCATTGAGTATGTCTGGGGAAGTAGCTTATCACTATCTGGGGTCCCAGATGGGAAAGTTATTGGTGAGAGGTGAGACTGGAGAAGTCAGAAAGAGCTAGAAGGTGAGGGGTCTTGGAGGCTACGTCAAGGAATTTGGACTTCATCCTGAGTGAGTGGGGAACCTCTGACGGATCTTAAACAGAGCAACATTCTTAGATGATGCCCCTGGCTGCAGAGAGTAACATGCATTTGTCGTGGGGAGTGGATATGCAAAACCAAATGCAAGGCGGTCACTTAAGAGGATGCTGATGAATCTAAGGGAGAGAGGGTGGTGGCATGAGCTGAGGAACGAAGACAGGCAGATATGCATGTGAGAGATTTAGGGGTCAGAATCGCTGAGGCTAGGTGATCAATCAGACATGGTGATGAGTGGTCCGACTGAGGGTGGCATGGGACTTTTTGGCTTGGTTGTTGAGGTGGGTGGTGGGGTGAGTTTCTGAGACAACATTTGAAAAGGGGAGATTTTGAGGGGGAAGTTAGAGTATCTAGTTTTAGACACGTTTCGGAGTGAGAGGCCAGTAGGACACATGGATGAATTGAGTAGTAAGAGGTTGGGGCCGTGGGTCTAGAGCTTAGGAGAGATATTTAGGAGCAGAAAGCCTAGGAGAGGACTAGGCAGAAGAAGAGACTCAAAAAGAAGATGGTAGAGAGGGTGAAGGGCCATTGTGGAAGCAGAGAGATGGCTTTAGGAGGGAGGCCGAGGTCAGCTGGCCAGATGCTGCCGAGGGAGTGAGAGAGTGGGGGCCGGTGCGTGGCCTCTGGGTTGAGTTACAAGCAGGTCGTTGTTGACTTTGGAGAGAGAAGTTTCCAGGGAGGGATGAAGGGAGCAGAGCTGAGTGCATGGGGCAGAGGGCCGCATGGAAGCGAGGGAGAGGCAGTAGATAGAGGCAGTCCCTTTCAGGGAAGGAGAGGAGAGGGAGGGAGGCTGCTGGAGAGGACACGCAGCTGGGCAAGGGTGGATCTGAGAGACTGTTTTTAAATGGGGAAAGAAAAGATCCAGCCGATAGCAGTGAAAATTGGGGAGGACCGGATAAGACCGGGTGTAGATGTGCAGCAATAATGCTGTAGGTACAGACGGGCAGTGTGGTATGCACAGTGGCAGGGGGACAAAGGACCACGGTGGCAGTTTGCAAGCTAGATGGAAGGGGGGGCTTCAGAGGCAGGGGTTCTGGGGAGTGGCAACTAATGACAGGGAGCAAGGATGTCCTGGGACCCTTGGGGGCAGTGAGGTGGACGGAGATGGCCTTAGGATGACAATGGTGGCCTCATGCCAAGAATGCTGCTCTGTGGATGCACCTCTAACCACTATCTCTGCTTGTCTCTCCCTGCTGCCTTCTCTGGGTGTGGCGCTCTACAGCTGTGTGCACCTGCCTTCTTCCTCCAGGGCCTCCTCCAAACGGTACTGGAGTCTGTCCTTCTCAAGGTTCTTGTTCCCCGTCCTCCTCCGTAAACAGGTTCCTGAAAATGGGGAGCCCGGCCCTCAGCATATAGAGAGGAACGTCATCAACTGAGAACTCAAGGAAGCCGGAAGGAAAGATGGAACATGGCAATGAGGGATAAAATGGGATCAAAGGGATACGACCCAGAGTTCGGGGGCATGGAGAGGAATGTTCTGGGGGGAAGAACATGAATGAGTTTTCCTGGGTGATTTCAGGAGAATGTTGCAACCATGTGAGAAGGGCTTATCCTTCTGCTTCTCCACCCAGGGGATCTTGGGGTGGTTCCTTTCTTTTTGCCTCTTTGCATCTTGGGCTTTGGGTCCTGGGCCCACATTGGACTGGACATCAGCCTTGAGCAGGCCACAAACAGGTCAAGAGCAGGTCTTTAGGCTTCACCCTTCCTTTAAAGAGGCAGCCTTTGATGTGCAGCTGCAGCAGCTGGTGGCCTTGGAGTGCCAAGAGTGGGCACCAAGCCAGGTGTCCCCATAGCAGCCAGGCCATATGGTGGCTGTCCAGGCCCTGCCTCCAACCTCCAGGGACACCATTCATGTGGACTGTGGTGAGCACAGCAGCCCCTGGAGTGGTGCCCTGTGGCAGCCTGCACATTGCCTTGCCTCCTGATGGCATCTGTCTCTCAGCCAGTCCAAAAATGTAGGTGCTTCCTATATCTCGTCACCCGCATTGTGGATCTGGAAGAATATAATGAATTCCTTCACTTTGTGCCCTGGTGATGTAGGCTAGTTATGAAGTCAGTGTTGTTCTGAGAGATGCTTTTGGTGGCTTAGCTCTCTTCGAGTCACCCTGGGAGATCAACAACAATGCTCATGGTAAAAACAATGGCACTGACAGCAATACAGCAATTGTTATGGTCACTATTGTTTATTAAGCACCCCCTATGGACCAGACATTCTTTATATTTGTTCTCTCATTGACTTCTCAGAGTAGCTCTGTAAGGGTATTGTAACCCTGGATCTTCATATGAGGGCATGAGTTACAGAAATTGAGTAATTTGCTCAAAGTCAAACAGCTAGGAAGTGACAGGGCTGGAACTAGAACCAAAGTCTGGCCTGAGTCTAGAAAAGAGCTTCTTACCACTACAGGTCAGGGAAGCAGAGCATCATCAGCGTGTCACTGGGCAGGACTGACAGCTGGGATTGGCTGTGACATGATGAGGTGGGAGGAAGCTGGTATGTTTCTCTGCTCCAGCTGCTCCCACCCTCTACGTCAGAGCATCTGAAGATGGATACGCCATCCTTTAAGAAAGAACCCAGAGCAAGTCACTTGGAGAATGAATCTAATGATTCCATTGTTTATTAAATGAGATCACATGAGGCAAATTCTCTAAAGTGTCTAGCATTACCATTTTAATTATAGCTAACATTTCCTGAGGGTTTGGGCCTGCATGTATGGACATGCAGGTTGTGCACTGCACAAGAGCACTCCGTCTAATGGGGTGCAATTTCTAGTGTAGACATCACATATTTGTATTTATTATAACAATTTTCCAGTAGGTGGCAGTAAAGGGTCTCGTTCTAATGAACTAGCAAAATATGATGATTTTCTGACATGGAAGTAAAGAGCTTTAAGAAAGAGACATCTTTCTCTAATTGTCACAAAGGTACCATGTGGGCTAGTAATCCTACTATTGAGAGTTCATGTGAATCGGGCACTCTTCTAAATCTTGTATTACCTTCTTCAAGTCTCACACTAACCTTTAGAGGTTGAGAACTTTTAAAACCATTTCGTGGATGAAAAAATTGAGCCATAGAGAGGTGGAATAACTTACTTAACTCGATAAGCGGTGGAGCCAGGATTCATACCCAGAGCTTGTGTTCCAGCCACTGTGAGACGTGGTAGTTGCCCAGCCCACGGCAGTACCTGCTTCCCTTGCTCCACCTGCTTCCCCAGGTAATTCTCTGTGACCGCTGAGGATTCCTGCCCATGTCTTTTTGGCAAACCCTTAGTAGGCCAGAGTGGACACATGCTGTACTCATCTCCGGTGTGTGGTGGTGAAGGAGCTTCCCCAGCAGTGCACTTTGGTGCCAGTAGCTGATGGGCATTTATATCCCTTTCTTCTACTGCTAAATACTCTTTCTGGCTCCCAGCACAAGTGCTCTGTCCTCATGGTAGACAGGTGTGAGAGGCGGGCGTTTGGGGCTGACAGGTGTCTGGGTGTGGGTGTGGAGAGTAGAGATAGAATACCAGGGGGCATGGTCAGTTGGGAGGGTCTGAGCCAGGAGGCAGGAAAACTAGGCCTGTGACAGGGCACGTGGTCCTTTCTGGGTCTGAGAAGGGCTGAAGTGGACGTGTCAGGGTAGAGTGGGCCATGCATGCATGTGCACACGTTCGTGTGCGTTGGAGATGGGGTGACCCTGAGCAGCTCATTGGTGCATCAGAGCCCGCCTTGTGGGAGGACGGGTGACCTGGGGTTCATTTGAAACAGGATCATCTGAGATCTGAACCCTGGGCCAAGGTGCTCAATTTGTGATCGTGGAGAAGGTGGTTCCTGGAAAAACTGACTTAGCGCTCTCATTTCTGCCTGCCCATTTTCCCACCTGTGTGTCCTTGTCTCTGTTTTTGCTTCTCTTCATGCACGTCCTTCTTTCCATCCTGTCTGTCCTCCTTTCTTGTCCCTCTGCCTCGGTCTTCCTTCCACCTTTGTCTCTATTCTATCTGCCGTGCTCTGTAGTCAGAGGATACAGACCTGCCCTATCCACCACCCCAAAGGGAAGCCAACATCTACGTGGTTCCCCAGAACATCAAGCCAGTTCTCCAGCGCACTGCCATCGAGGTGAGCTTGACCCCAGGGTGCAGGGGTGGGGGGCAGCCTGGTCCTTCTCCTTTCTGGCCCAGACTTTCCTGGGCTCTGGGGCCTTTCTAGCCACTTTCTTCACTTTGTGTCCCCAGATCCTGGCATGGGGTCTGCGGAACATGAAGAGTTACCAGCTGGCCAGTGTCACCTCCCCAAGCCTCGTGGTGGAGTGTGGAGGCCAGACAGTGCAGTCCTGTGTCATTAGGAACCTCCGGAAGAACCCCAACTTTGACATTTGCACTCTCTTCATGGAAGTGGTGAGCCTGACCTCCCTGCTGTCCCCTTCCAGCGTTCCGGTGGCTAGGTTAGACTTTCCTCACAACCCCAAGCAGCCTGAGGGTCTGCTCCTGCGCCCTGTGGGATCCTGTGTGGGTCACAGCATTTCTCCCACCTCACTTGGCTGTGAAAATGGGAAGGAAATGCTTATACTCACATCACTGGAAGAACTAAAGCATGCGAGCAGCACAGGTGGGGCCAGCTTGCTCCCTCCTACCCAGATCCCAAGTCTGCAGAAGTCCCAAGGACCTATACCCATGGCTGTTTTCCCTTTCGGGGCAGGGCTCAATCTCCCGAAGCTCTCCTCAGGGGCCTGTCAGGGCTGTGACTTTCCATGATTCCTCCAAACCTTCCCTGACCTGGGCCTCCCCACCTGGGCTCCTACGGAGGGGCTCACCCCCAAGGCCCTCAGGGCCTCAGTTCTCTCCAGCTCCCGGGGCTGCCTGGGCCGAGTGGCCAGAGTAAGGCAAGTCTGAGGAGAGGAACATGGTTTGCAAGATGAAAGCACTATAGAAATTCCAGGCCCAGTGGCTGTCAACAGGAGCCTCCTCTTGGCTGAGCCAAACCCGCCACCGAAGGAGAGCATATAAATTATTTCAAGTTGTGTTCAAAGTGCTTTTGGGGCTGGGGGGTGGGAGGGTGGGGAGAAGAATCTGGGTCTGTAAGCCAACTCTCAAGTATCCACTTGGGGGGGACTGTCTGCAAGAAATGTTGAGTCCCGGGCCAACTTCTCTCCTCTTCCCCTCCCAGCGAGTGAGGGTTCAGGGAAAGGAGACTTGCTTTCACTTCAGGCTGAACTGGATGTGTTTGGAAGGTAAAGCTGGGGTGGAGAGTGTGTGTCGGGGAAGCCATCCTCTGAGTACAGCATTCAAGAGGCAGGAGGAAAGGCGTGTGGCTTCCACTCCCCTGACCGGCTCCTGGGCTCAGTCAACCACCACCTTGAAGTTACGGCCCCTGGGGGTTATCTGTGGGTTTATAGTCATTCTCTCGCTTTGGGCTTGTCCTGTGAAGAAGCCCTCCCCCCTCCTCTGAGACCTCCCAGAGATGGGTTCAGGCCACTGCTCAGAGCTTTCCTCTACCTCTGTCCAGATGCTGCCCAGGGAGGAACTCTACTGCCCCCCCATTGTGGTCAAGGTCATTGATAACCGCCAGTTTGGTCGTCGGCCTGTGGTGGGCCAGTGCACCATCCGCTCCCTGGAGAGCTTCCTGTGTGACCCCTACTCAGAGGAGAGTCCATCCCCACAAGGTGGCCCAGGTAGGGGGAGGAGTTATTGATGGGGAGGGCTGGGACAGAGCGGGTGCAGGGCAAGTGGGACTTCCCACCGAGAGGTGTCTTGAAGCCCTACTTTTGCTGAGACCTGAATGATAGGTGGTTTCTGCTCAGCAGACCAGAAGGGTGTGGATTTCACCTTTCTCAGGGCATCACCTGGCTCTGGGGTGGGCACACCAGGAGCTGGTACGTGTGTCTTTGGGGGGCTGAGAGGTGAGGGCTGAAGTGGGAGGTAGTGGGAAGAGTTGAGGGAGAGAGATTCAGGGATTCAGTGGGATAAGGAGGGAGGAGAGAAGGGCCGGAGAGGAACACAGAGAATTGAGGAGATAGGGAATGTGAAGGAAGATGGTAGAAATAAAGACAGGTGAGGGAAGGATTGGGTGGGAGGAAAAGAAAGACAGAGATCGAGAAGTGTAGGGAGACTGAGAGGTTCTGTCTCATAGTACCTGGCTGAGTCTCGTTGCTGGGGGGAACCCCTGGAGGGAGCCCCCTCTCAGACCTGGACACCGCTCTCTCCTACAGATGATGTGAGCTTGCTCAGTCCTGGGGAGGATGTACTCATCGACATCGACGACAAGGAGCCCCTCATCCCCATCCAGGTAGGATGGTGCTGGGTCCCGAGGTAGAGACACTGTGTTCTCATCGACAGCGACGACAAGGAGCCCCTCATCCCCATCCAGGTAGGATGGTGCTGGGTCCCGAGATAGAGACACTGGTTCCTGCCAAGAGCTGGCCTTGATTGCTCACTCCCCTCTCATGTCTCCCACTCTACTTCCTCTCCCTTCTTTGTCACGTGGCATCTACAAGATACCTCCCTCTGTACCCTGGTGGCTGGGCATTGTACAGACAGAGGCACCTAGATGGAGTTTTCAGTCTGGTCAGGAGTGGGGTGGAGGGTTGTGTGGAGGCTGTGTGTAGTCTTCGGAGCAAGACGCAATCCTTTTTCCAAAGCATATGAGAAAAATGGCCCCTCTACTTCGAGGGCCATGTTGAAGGCTCTTGCCTGGAGACCATGCAGGAAATCAGGGTGGAGGAGCAAATGAGAGACAGGGCAGACAGGGAGGGAGTGACTGGGTACTCTCTGGGGTGCTCCAGTCCCATCACCTTACCTGAGCCAGGACCCTCTAGACTTGTGCTTGGTGGCGCTTGGAGGCAGCTCAAAAGGAGGGATTCATGTCCAAGCCAATAATCCCCCTCAATAGTTTCTCTACCTGTAGGAAAAGGTTTCCAGCCCTGTGGTAGGTAAGAGGCGTCCCTTTACTATGTACTCAGCAACCTAGGGCCAGCTGGTGACCCAGACGCCCATGCCAAACAGCATGACAGGAGGTCTGTGGCATCTCTTACTGAGGGAGGAGCGCTCTCCTCACCCTGGGCCTGAGTGGCTCTGGGTCCTGTAGGACTGAGGCCACCCAGTCCTTCCTGCAGGGGAGATGGGAAAGGCCTCATGGTGAGCATCAGCCTTTCATTGGCCATCTGTTCTAGGTTCTCACCTTATTCTCAGCTTCGCATGATGCTGGTCACACCTCTGGCACCGGGGGCTCCCAGAGCTTCGATGCTGTCTGGAGGCAGGGCCTCCTAGCTGATATAGATAGTGCTTGTGTCCACAGGCCCACAGCCTGTTTATTCACCCGAGGATGGCGTGGCATCCTCGGGTGAATAAACAGGGTTTTGTTTTCTTTATATCATCAATCAAAATCAGCCTTGAGAGCACAATAAACTTGAATGTCAGGCTCAGGATCCTCAAAACTGCCACTGGAGATGTGTTTACAGGGGTTTCTCTGACATTTAGGGCTAATTTCTGCTGCTTTCTCACTCATCTCTTTCATCTTTCTGCCGCTTCCAAGGGAATGTCCTTGGGCCTCACTGCTGTCAGAACAAGAGGGCTTTTCTACAGTGTCATTGATGCTAAGAGTACTTAGAAATCTCATACTCTCCATTTCTCCCACGTCTGTGGCTCTCCAGGGCTCTGCTCCACCTCTGGCAACTCCTGGTCATTTTTTAAGACTAAACTTGGTTGTGTCACTTGCTTCCAGGGATCTTCCCTGGCTCTTCCTTTTTTCCTGTAAGTTCTGTCTATATCTTGGTTATTGCACTTGCCTTAGGTCTGCTTGTCTCTGTAAATGGCAGCATCTTCTTTAGACTAGGTTCACGGCAGTGACTGGGTACATTCTTCTGTGTCCCTAATGCCCAGCACAGGGCCTAGCTTAGAAGGAGGAGTTCAGTGAAGCTGCCTGGGTCAGTGGATGTGTGGTTGGGTTCAGATGGACAGATGGATGGATGGATGACATGCCTACTCTTTGTAAGCAGTCTAAGAAGAAGCTTCTCTTGACTGGGGAAACTCAAGTGGAAATTTCAAAGGGCCCTACACAGGCTGTAGCTACACTCAGTGCTAGTGCCTTCTGGCCTGGGTGGGTGTTTGTAGCTGAATTAGGAAGATTATTAGGCCCCATATCCAGTTTGCCCGA